TTCGACCACAGTCGAAAATCGAATGCAACTCATAATAGGGGCCTTAGAAAAACAGAACTCCGATCGAAATGTAGAATAGGTATAATCGTAAATTTCGCAGAATAGCAAAGTTGCTAAACGGAGAAAATTTCGATTCGAATCGAAATGCAGAATAGGGCTAATAGCAAAATAAAAGATGATCGACTCGATCGACAAATTTCTATTCTACTGTCAGTCGACACTCGCAATAGGGGCCCAACGTCTGGTTTACACTTATCTCAGATTAAACATAGGGCCTATTCGAAGCACGTTATAAAGGCGGCATTACTGCCGCACTGATGAAAATTTGCAACACTGTTGCAACTGCCCAACTGATAAAACGTTCCTAGAAATTAACACCGAACGTGATACTTTAATGGTTCGCGCAACACTGCGGTTGTGATTGCAACTCGAACAAGCCCATACTTATCGACGTTACAGACTTCCTGTTGTATGCAAGCAGTCTGAGACGTCGATAACGATGATTAACCGCAGATTAGTGTTAACCATACATTGAGTAACCGGCCCTAAATGCTGGCTGGCGATCAATTTTGTTGAAAGCGATTAGTTAAAAGGCCGTTCAACCAAAAGTAGAATGCAAAGTTGAACAATGCAAACGTCTTTTTATGGCGAATATTTTGATATATTTTTACATTTTGATATTTTTTATATTGTGATATTTTTTTATATCTTGATATTTGTTTATATTTTGATTTTTTTTTATACTTTGATATTTTTTATATTTTGATATTTTTTATATTTTTATATATTTTAGATATTTTTAGCCATTCAATTTTTTTCTTCGTGCAACCCTGCGTAAGTCGAACGCAAGTTACCTGAAAATTCGCCTCGTGCTAAAGCCCTATCGTGTGCGATGCCATTTTTAAACAACGGAGGCGGCGTTCGTTTCTGCATATTTAATTATTTTATTACATCTACAATTTTGTAGTACTTTTAGTAAACTTAAAAAATGGGCTGGTTAATCTTCTTCCTCTTCAGCAGCTCCACCGCTACCTCCTTGGTTCTTCTTCAGGTTCTTCCTCTTAACGCGACCTGGGCGGCCACCACCGAATGGCGATTTCAATGAGAAATCAATGTGCTTCTGCGAGTCCAAGCGCACAACAAATGATGGGATGTTTACCACTTGTCTACGAACGCTATATATGTGCGAAAAAATGTTACATTTGTTAGCATAAAATATAACTTAAGACACGAAAACTTCCGAAAAATTAAATCGTTCAGTTGTAAAACTTACGGTAGTAAAGTTTGATAAATTCTTATACAGAACGAAAACCCATTTTAAAAGACGTTGAGAGCCGGTACAGACTGCTGTTCCGACTCCCAAGTGGTCTTACTGAACATATTTTGTTAAAATTCTCAAGTCCTGTGACAGAGACAGGTGTATACTGTCGTTGATATTTACCGAATATGTCTCTGGCGGATAAGGACGCGAGCATGATGGATTGACTTGGCTAACCCCAATTTGAAGACTTGAGTTTGCAAGCGGCGCTCCAAGAAGTCCTCAATTTTCAGACCCAGAACGTAATCGAGTTTCATGCGAGACTCATCTAATACGCCAATACGTACCAAACGACGTAGAAGAGCGTTACCTAAAAATGAAATTCAAACAATTAAGAGATTTCTTTTAAGACGAAACACTAATGCACTTATTAATCATATTTTCAGTTAATAAACTATCGTCAAAATTAATTTCAGACAAGAAGTGTCAGAGAATTAAGTAATCATCAGAGAGATAACTTGTGCTGTTTTCCAAAACGAGCATCTGTTTCTTTTAATTAAATATGAGCAACTTTATTAGATATTTTTTCATGACTGTGCAGATGGGAAATTCCTTCATTTAGGGCCAGTTTTTCAGTGCTAGTTTAAACTTAGATTGAGTAAACCGAGTTTAAATTAAACAGCTGGCTGACATTTGATTGGCTGATCTTAGTTTAAACCAGCGAGACCGGGCGTTTAAACCGCGGAGGTGCACTGGAAAACTGGCACTTTAGATTTAAAATGAAAAAAAATCCATGCTTGGTATGAGCGTTTTAGGAAACAGCTTAAATTCTCAACCTTAAAACTATCGCCCCTATTGCGAGTGTCGACTAGTAGTAGATAAACGACTCTTATTCGAGTGTCGCTTTTCCATGGTATTGTGCATGTCGATTTCTCGTTGAATAAGCGACTGAATAATTTTTATCGATCATTTTTCTACAACTGTTTGTTTGTAGGATGAGCGACTATTAAATATTCACACACTTATTGAACAAGAAAGCGACTTTGAAAATACCACGGATAATGGATAATCGACTAACAGTTGTTTACCTACTACAAGTCGACACTCGCAATAGGGGTGACTATTGGTTACCTTGGAACAATCTCTTTTCGTCTTTCTCCTCTAAGGTCAGCAATTCACGAGCAGCCTTACGGATTTTGGCCAATGCGTACTTTACACGCCAAACCTCACGTTTATTGCGCAAACCATATTCGCCAATGATTTTCAACTCTTGATCCAAACGCGCCTTTTCATAAGGACGACGTGGCGTAACATAAGTCTTCGAGAAGACAGACGGTATGCGTCCGTTGACCATTTTTCCAGCTCTTCAACCGAGTGCTAAAATAACCAGACCAGGTTAGCTACAATACCCCGCAAGTATCTTAAACATCTTCATAGTTATATAAAATTACTGATATTCAGATATAAACTGGCAAATTAAGGCATCTGATCACAAAATATTTAATACAAAAATTTACCAGAAACATTATAATATAGTAAAATAAAAGCTAATCTAAATCTTCACATGCCTTCGCCTCAACGTTCGGGAAATGAAAGAACGAATAGAGTTTGACGTACCTGTCAGTTTGAGAATTGGGAAAGCTTAAAGTGGGCTGTGGTTCATAAGTAGTGTTGCCGTGCGTCTCAAGAAAATGTATCACATTCCACGTTTAAGCTTATAGGGCATTCGCACGTGGCGATTTTACAGGCAACAAAAGTTGAATAC